CTCTCCAGTGATTGGAAGATTGGGGACATGTTATTTGTAGTACTGTACTGCCTGTACTATTTGGCTGCTACATGGCAACAGTGACTGCCCCTCAGAACATTGATTGTGGAGTGATAGTAGGAACTGCAGATGCTGGAGAATCTGAGATAACAAGGTGTAGAGCTGGATGAACACAGCAGGCCAAGCAGCATCAAAGGAGCGGGAAAGCTGACGTTTCGGGCCTAGACCCTTCTTCAGAAATGGGGGAGGGGAAGGGGGTTCTGAAATAAATAGGGAGAGAGGGGGAGGCTGATAGAAGATGGGTAGAGGAGAAGATAGGTGGAGAGGAGACAGACAGGTCAAAGAGGCGGGGATGAAGCCAGTAAAGGTGAGTATAGGTGAGGAGTTAGGGAGGAGATAGGTCAGTTCAGGGAGGACGGACCGGTCAAGGGGGCAGGATGAGGTTAGTAGGTATGAGATGGGGGTGCGGCTTGAGGTGGGAGGAGGGATAGGTGGGAGGAAGGACAGGTTAGGGAGGTGGGGATGAGCTGGGCTGGTTTTGGGATGCGGTCGGGGAGATTTTGAAGCTTGTGAAGTCCACATTGATACCATTGGGCTGCAGGGTTCCCAAGCGGAATATGAGTTGCTGTTCCTGCAACCTTCTGGTGGCATCGTTGTGGCACTGCAGGAGGCCCAGGATGGACATGTCGTCTGAGGAATGGGAGGGGGAGTTGAAATGGTTCGCGACTGGGAGGTGCAGTTGTTTATTGCAAACCAAGCGTAAGTGTTCCACAAAGCGGTCCCCAAGCCTCCGCATGGTTTCCCCGATGTAGAGGAGGCCACAACGGGAACAGCGTATGCAGTATACCACATCACAAGCTTCAAAATCTCCCCTCCCCCTACATTCACCTTTACTGGCTCCATTCCCGCCCCCTTGACCTGTCCGGCCTCCCTGGACTGACCTATCCCCTCCCTCACTCCCCACCTACACTCACCTTTATTGGCTCCATCCCCGCCTCTTTGACCTGTCTGTCTCCTCTCCACCTATCTCCTCCTTTATCCATCTTCTATCCTCCTTCCCCTCTCTCCCTATTTATCTCAGAACCCTCTTCCCCTCCCCCATTTCTGAAGAAGGGTGCAGGCGCGGAATATCAGCTTTCCTGCTCCTCTGATGCTGCTTGGCCTGCTATGTTCATCCAGCTCTACATCTTGTTATCATTGATTGTGGAGTGCTTTGACATGTTCTTAAGTTACGACAGGAGCTATAACCACTAATCCCCCCCCCCCCCCCCCACCCGTTTTATAAACAGGGCACCATAACAAAACTGAGCTTACCATTATTGTTTCATTTCTCATCTTGCTTGTAATCCTACCATTATCACTGATTCCCGCAGCCGCCCAGTCTGTTGCTCAGACCCATAAGTAGTTTGGATGTGTTAACGTTTCAGATCGAGTGACCTTTCGTCAGAATCCTTCGTTCTGAGGAACAGTCACCGGACCCGAAAGTTAATTCTGATTTCTCTCCACAGATCTTATTCGACCTGCTGAGCTTTTCCAGCAATTTCTGTTTTTGTTTCTGATTCACAGCATCAGCAGTTTTTTGATTTTTAAAGTGTACAGTAGTGTTCGACTGCACCAGTTCGACGGATACCTTTGGCCGAAAATACTCGTTGCAAAGGATTTTAAATTTTTTTTTCTTCCAATCATGTCCTTTTATTTGTTTGTCATTCCCTTTTCTCCCGTCCTTCCGCTATGGCACGGATCAGTTCTTATGGTTTCGTTTCGGAAGAAAAATGTTGCTTTCTGCACACTCTCAGATTCCAAAGGCACATGTGTCTGGCTGATAATTTGCTGTGCAACCATTCAGGCAAACCTTACCTGGGCGAGAGCTCTGCAAATGTGGCAATTTCATTAATTTTCTAACCAGCTGTTTATCGGAGTCGTCTTGTTTCCTTTTGCACGTTAGATTGTTCCTTAGCAACCAGTAACGCTGAGGCTGGGAGAAGCTAAGAGCGCAGAAGCTGCAGGATCGCCAAGATTTTAAGTTTTGATATTGAGCCTTTTAGATGGATTGTGCTCAGCTTCTTTACATGATATATTGCAGTTGTCTGACTATTAATTGTCATATTTTAGTTTCATTGTATGTTTCTTTTTGAAACCTGCAATCTAAACTACTGCTTGAATCTAAAATGCTGAATGTGTTATACTTATGACTGAATATACAGCAACTTTGCAACAGACAGAAACATTGTATGTGCCCAGATACACATTTTTTCAAAACGTCTGTGCCTGTGAGTGGAAAATCCCAAATCACTCAGTTTGCACCACTTTTTAACATCTCGCTGTTTTATTGGTTAAGTGTTAGGGCCAGTATCCATTATTTTCATAAATTTTGATCAAAATGACAGAACTCAGTTCCAAAAATATGGTTTTGAATATTCCACACACTTCTATAAAAATCATCATGAAACATGGGCTGTAACCCATCTTGATCACGCTTTTCATTCTTAGAATACTGGAAAAGCCAGATCTTTGGTATGATCTAACCTGATAGGCCAAACAGAATATGTGGATGAACCAAGTGTAAGGAAACAAGCAGCAAGATTCCAGGGTTGAACTGAAACACAAAAATGTCTTTATTGTACAAACTCGAACCAAAACAAACATAAGTAATAATAATATTGTCAACAAAAAAGATGATTCTAAATCATAAACACTATATATCCAAATTAGATTCTAACATTCAGAATTATTATGAATTAATAGACAAGAGACTGGTCTGGTGAATGGTTGTGAATGTGGCAGATTGAACATTATCTGGTGAAGTGCGATGTTATTTACTTTGACAGAAAAAGTAAAAAAGTAGAATATGTTTTAGTGAGACTTAGAAATGTTTGGATTGAAGGTTTCCTGAATGCCCTCGTACATGAATCATAATAATGGTAATCAATTACAAAGGCAAGTAATTGTTACAGAGGGACTGGTATACAGAAGTCTTAGAGTGGCCAAGTTTTCTTACCTAACAAAGAAAATACTTAACCAAGAGGGAGTGGAACAGAGGTTCACTATTGGTCCTTGGCATTGTCTTATGAGGAGTGATTAAGTATATGAGGCCTATACTTTCCTGAGTTCACAACAATGGAAGCTAATCCAATTGAAGCATATACATTTCTTAAGGAACTTGTCAGGTGTTATGAAAATATACTATTAATCTGTAATTTTATCAGCTGGTGTATGTAGAATTAAAAAAATACTTTTGGTAAGCAAAGAACACTGATTTGAAGTATCTGCAAACACTAATTTGCACCAATGAAGCCTAATTCTACAGATATGCAAAGTTTACAAAGACTCCAACAGACACAATGACACATCTGGAAATGTGAACACTTCTTTGCTTATTAAGATGAAGGATAGTTAATTCACAAGTTAATGGCTGGGACATTAGATGAACTAATCACCTTAGCTGTAAAAGGGAAGCTGAGTGAGACATGAGCTATCCTCGATAGTTTTTGGAATATACAGCCGAGAAGGAGAAAAGTTGTGTTTTACAAATTTTTGTGTGGATGCTGAAATTGGGAATGAGGAGAGAATGAATAGGTTGCTACGGGGAGCAGCTCTCTCTTTCTGCAATATTTCACCTATGTCTGTATTCTGCTTTGCTGAAAAATGCCTGCAACAGCAAGTAGTGACTGTACTGAAAAGCCATTGAATTTTCTGCAAGAGGATTTCGGAAGAATAAAGGATCTACCAGCTATGACTGAAAAGTAACTGCTTCAGCAAAGAGACAGAGGCTGGACTGAATCACAATCAGCGAATCTTTATTGAATTTACCTTTTCAATATGTGTTTTACTTGTCCAAGTTTAACATGAGCTAATCTACAAAGTTACTTTTTTGCATAGTCAGACAGTTTATATATTTGCACATATTAGTAGGAAGTAAGCGTTATTTATATGTCTTTAACATCGTTAATGCTTTTCTAGCAATAAAATTAATCCTTGTGTTTATTTCATTAATCTGTCTGGCTTAATTCTTACAAACTTCACTCAGTCAACTGCATACCTTATTGACAATCCAGCATCCTTTTTAAAATCTAAAACCTATTGCTGTTAAATGAGGAGTGGAGTTGACACACCTGATGCTAACACAGATGTTGAAAAAATTGTTTCAAAAACAAGTTCTGAAGAAGAGTCATACTGACTCAAAAGGTTAATTCTGTTTCTCTCTCCATATATGCTGCCAGGCCTGATCAGTTTCTCCGGAATTTTCTGTGCATGTTTGAAAAGAATGTTTTCCTGCCCGGGAAGCTTAGAGCATTGGGTCACATTCTGAGCATGAGCGATCAGTTATTCAGAACTGGGATAAGAAAATTTTCTTCAATCAAAGCATCGTGAATTTTAGAGCTTGCTACCCCATGGAGCTATGGATACTCAGTTGATGAGTTTACTTAACGTGGAGGTTAATAGATAAGTGGCGACCAAATAAATGATACAGGAACAGTGCCGTAACATGGAGTTGAGGTAGAAGATGAACTATGATCTTATTAAGACAGAGTGCATAGGTCACATGACAACTGCTACTGCTATTTCTTATGACTGTATTTGGAATATATTGCCTGCTGACTGTTACTAACCTGGTTTATTTCTCAGCAGTGAGAAATTCCACTGTGCATCATGCAGGTGTCTGTGTTTGGTTCCCTGCCAGCAGTCATAATTCACTCATTCAATGCCAGTCTGTTTAGCTGCTTTTATTCCAACGAAACTATCGGAAGCTAGGCAGCGAGAAACAAAGGCCAGAAACGTGGTCATTCAAAGAACAATATGAGAATTAGAAGGAGGATTAGGCCATATTGTGCAGCAAGCCTGCTCTGCTAATGTGATGGTGGCTATAAATGAAAGCATTGCAGAGTTACTGAATGGATGTCTGTGTTCGGTGAGTTGACAAGACGGTGACAGTATTTTAGATGAGCAGTGAGCACCGGCTGGTGCTGCCCTGAGCTGTGTGGGGAGGATGGGAGGTGACATCAGTGTTTGCTCAGGTGCAGAGCTCCAGGTGCAGGCTAGAGGCCAGAAGCCCGCGCGTTTCTCCAAGTGACGCTGCTGTGAGTATGGCCAGCTTTCTACACACCAAACCTAAACTAATCGGTCCATTATGATTGAATAGAATGTGATTTGCTTTTTTGTTTAAATTGTTCCTACAGGGCGGCTGTCGCTATCCTGACTTTGAAAAGGTAAGAATCAATTTGTTGGAGAGTGTGGGCTCTTGGTTTGGGAAAGGTGTGGCGCGCTGTTGTTTTTCCGTGTGGTGAACAAAGAGAAAGTTATCGGTGAAGTGCAGTGCGTTGTTTCATTCGATGAGGTGGGATTTTATGGCGGGGTGGGGCAGTTAATGAAGATGAGGGGAGGAGGGCGGCTTCTTACCTCGATTCTGTATGTTTGTCGCTGAGTCCTAACCTCGTCGCGATATGGCCGAGTCTAAGACTATCCATAATTCGGCCGGCCCCGCCACAGGACTGTATGCCGACCCCATTCTTGTTCACCGCCCCTTTCTTACTCTCTCACCTTTACCACGCTACCTTGCCCACCCACCCCCCACAGGCTGGGTGGAGTGGGGAGGGGTGTCTGTACCGGGGGGAGAGTTGGGAGGGGGTAGTGAATAAGTATACTGGGGGAAAGAGGAGGTCGGTGGTGGGTAGTTGGGTGAGACAGGAGGCTGGATGGTGAGTTGGGGGAGGATGACAAATGGCAGGTGATTTACTGGGGGTTTAGTGGGTATGTTGAAGGATGTCAGAGAGGTATGAGGGGGAGGCGGTCGTGAGGATTGGCTGTGGGGTTTGGGTGGCTGTGGCAGGGGGTAAAGGGCATAGAGCGATGAGGCACCTGTTAGAACCATTGTTCTTTGAATATCTAGGAGTGATGGCTGAATTTTCTTCAAACGTTGCATATTTTATCCCTTTGTTTACAAGCATCATCTCTACAGTCGTGCCTCTGAAACATGAGGAAAAGTTTTTCCCATTTTACTGTTTGTTTCACTGTTAGTTTTGATCAGTTTAAAACTAAGGACTAATAGGCTCAAATCAGAAAGTTCCTAGAGAAAATTCATGTTCGCCTGAGATTTTTAAAGGAAAAGGGAGTAAATTTGATAACCTCCTCAGAAAACAGGAAAGTATGATATATCTGCACCTATTTAATTTAATGCAGGCAGCATGACAGATACTTGCCAGCTGTTCATTTGAATGATTGTTGTGACCAGTCATGCTACTTCCACTGTTTATTGGCTGCACATTTAGCAGGGAACCTAAACTCAATTTTGATAGCACCAGCAAAAGGTGGCCTCTACTCTAGATAACTAGCCTAATTTCTTAACAGGGAAGTGCATTGTGGTTGAAGCAGATATTGGTAGATGTGTAGGAGGTGAATATTACCTGGGGAGGGAGGGGAAGAAAAGGCACAGCATGGGAAATGGCAGACTTTGCTAGAATTCTGGATACACTTCTTTTGTATCTCTGCTCTGTGGGTATCCACACATGCATCCTTACAGTCTGTTCTCTATTACTACATTAGCACTCTTCTTGGTTGCTCATATTTCTGGTTTGCCCTTATCCTGGAGTAATCTCTCTAACTCCCTTCTGTATTGTAACCAACATTTATTTACAGGCTATGACTACAGCTCTTTCATGCAGTACCAGTCTTTGTTTTTATATATTTCCCTCATCAATGAACTGTTCTCCTTGCTTTGTTCATGTCAAAGTACCATAAATCAATTGTATATTCCATTATGCTACGTCAGGTTTTCCAGACATTGCGTTGGAGGCTTTAGTGGAGGAGTTAGAAAAAAAGGACTGATGTCCAAAAGGCAGAGCACCAAGTTGTCCTCTAGATACATGCTTAAAAGAAAATGGGAGTAACTGGCTCTGGAGGTCAGTACCAGGAGTTGATCCTTGGATGCAGCATGGCAGAAAGTTCAGTGATTTTACACAAATGTGTTTTCAAATGCCACATCCTACCAACTGCGCCACCAGCCTCTGGTATTTCACATGGTATGCTGAATTGGGAACATCTCATCCTGAAGATTCATATGCATCAGTGCACCCTCGCGCAGTTTGTGTTACTCCAAACCTCTCACCCACACTGTCAGTTATACAACCAATGCAGTCACAAATATTGTATTTCATCCACTAACACACACTCCAGTACTCCTTCTCAACCCCAATCCTTCTCACTTTTATAACAAATAACACAACAACAATACACCAGAGGAGAATAGGCATACCTGAGGTGGGAGATGGTGGTGGTCATTATTGGGACACCCATTTCTCTGGTCATGCCAGTGGGTTGGAAGGTGGAATACAGCAACCATTAATGACAACATCCTCCTATTCTCTGTCAGAAGTGCTGTGTGGATGATCCATCTCGGCTGACTCCCAATGTCTCCTATTTTCAACCAATCAAATCACTGTGTGAAATCAAGAAATAGCTGAAGACCCTGAATGCTGCAGAGGTTTTTGTTTAAATTTGTTCACAAGATGTGAGTGTCAGCATTTATAGCTCATCCCTAATTGCCCTGAGAGTGGTTGAGGGTCAGATATAAGCCTGACATAGGGTATTTGTGAACCAGATGGGCTTTTACAACAATCAAGTGTTCACATGTTTGCCTGTTGTGCTAGCTCCTTTAAAATTCCATTTTTTTCATTAAGTTTATTAGATTCAAATTTCACCATCTGCTATGTCCCATGAACACAGGGCTTCATGAATTACCAGTGCAGTCCAGACCAGTGATATTACCACTACATCATTGCCTCCTATAGGCCCTGACAATATTCTACCAATAGTACTAAAGAGTTGTGCTCTAGAACTAGCTGTTTCCCAAGTTGAGCTGTTCCAGCTGGCAACAAAGTGGAAAATTGCCCATGTATGTTCGGCACACAAAAAGGTAGGACAACTCGGATGCAGTATAACATGAAAAAAATGTGAGGTTATCCACTTTGGCAGCAAAAATAAAAGGCAGATTATTATTTGAATGGCTGTAAGTTGAGATGGAAGAATGTTCAATAAGACCTGGGTGTCCTCGTGTACCAATCCACTGAAAGTAAGTGTGCACATAGTCATAGAGTCATAGAGCTGTACAGCATGGTCCATGCCGACGAGATATCCTAAATTAATCTAGTCCCATTTGCCAGCATTTGGCCCATGTCCCTCTAAACCCTTCCTATTCATATACCTCACCATCTTATCTACTTGTGACTCCACTTTCAAGGAACTACGAACCTGCACTTCAAGGTCTGTTTGTTCAACAACACTCACCAGGACCTTACCATTAAGTGTATAAGTCCTACCCTGATTTGCCTTTCCAAAATGCAGCACCTCACATTTATCTAGAATAAACTCCATCTGCCACTCCTTGGCCCAAAGGCTCATCTGATCAAGGTCCCATTCTACTCTGAGGTAACCTCCTTGATTGTGCACTACACCACCAAATTTGGTGTCATCTGCAAATGTATCAACCATACCTCCAATGTTTACATCCAAATCATTTATATAAATGACAAAATGCAGTGGACCCAGCACCAAGCCTTGTGGCACACCACTGGTCACAGGCTTCTAGTCTGAAAAGCAAACCTCCACCACCACCCTCTGTCTTTTACCTTTGAGCCAGTTCTGTATCCAAATAGATAGTTCTCCCTGTATTCCATGTGATCTAGACTTGCTAACCAGTCTATCATGTGGAAACTTGTCAAATGCCTTACTGAAGTCCATAAAAATCACATACACTGTTCTGCCTTCAACAATCCTCTTTGTTGATGCAGCAGGCAGCAGAAAGAGGGCCAATTATGTTGACCTTTGTAGTGAGAGGATTCGAGTACAGGAAAAAGGATGCTTTGCTGCACTTATACAGGGCATTGGTGAGGCCACATCTGGAATACTCTTGTGCAGTTTCGGTCACCTTCTCTGAGGAAGGATGTTCTTGCTGTAGAATTGGTTCCTAGGATGGCAGGATTGACTTAGGAAGAGAGATGGACTTAGTTAGGTTTGTATTCACTGGAGTTTAGAAGAATGATGATTGAGTATTCGTAGAAATCTATAAAATTCTAACAGGACTAAACAGATCAGATGGGAACATCCTTCCTGCAATGGTGGGAGAATCCAGAACCAGGGGTCATAGTTTAAGGATAAGCGGATAAACCTTTTAGGACTGAGATGAGGAGAAATGTCTTCACCCAGAGAATGGTGAGCCTGTGGAATTCACCACCACAGAAAGTGGTTGAGGGCAAAACATGGTGTTTTCTAGATAAAGGTAGAAATAGTTCTTATGGCTAAAGGGTTATAGGATCTGGGGGAATTAGAGTATTGAGTTGAATGATCAGCTGTGATCATATTGAATAGCTGAGCAGGCTCGAGCAGTTATATGACCTATTCCTGCTCTTATCTTCTATGTTTCTATGTAAGTCCAACCTGATCAATTACCACCCCACCAATCTACACTTGATCATCAGTAAAGTGATGGAAAATGCAATCAACAGTGTTATCAGGTGGCACTTGCTTAGCAATAACCTGGTCAATGACACACTGTTTGGGTTTTGCCAGGGCCACTCGGCTCCTGACCTCTTATATCCTTGGTTCAAACATGGACAAAAGAGCTGAATTCCAGAGTTGAGGTGAGGCTGATCGCCCTTGACATCAAGGCTGCATTTGACCAAACGTGACATTAAGGAACCCGAGCAAAACTGGAGTCAATGGGCATCAAGGAGAAAAACCCTCCAACTCACTGGTTGGAGTCCTATCTGGCACAAAGGAAGATGGTTGTGGTTGTTGAAGATCAGTCATATCAGCTCCGGGGTATCTCTGCAGGACTTTCTTGCAGTGGTGTCTGAGACCCAACCATATTCAGTGACTTTATCAATGACTGTCTCTCCATGATAAGGTCAGAAGTGGGATGTTCTCTGATTGCACAGTGTTCAGCACCATTCATAACTCCTCAGATAGTGAAGCAGTCCAATTCCACATATAGCAAGAACTGGGCAATATCTAGGTTTGGGCTGACAAGTAACGTTCATACTACACCATGCCAGGCATTGACTATCCCGTAAGAGATAATCTAACTATCAACCCTTGACACCCAATACCATCACTCAATTCCCCACTATCAACTTTTTGGGGAATACCACTGACCAGAAACTCAACTGGACTAACCATATAAATGCTGTGGCTACAAGAGCACATCAGAGTGACT